GACTTGCCCACATGGTGGCAGTATTACTCCACACCAGGTAGAGTTGGGAGGGCACAGTTTCCACCTAGTACTAAATGTCAACTCCCCTTTCCCCTTAAGACAGAGAAGTTCTGTGATCCACAGAAAGGCTCCAAAGGAGGACATTGTTGGAGTCACCCTGTCTTTCTTAGTGGAGTGGGAGACATGACCCTCTGGCTATAGGACGCATCCATCACTTGGAGGGTTCCATCAGCCTGTGAGGCAGATGGAGGCTTGCCGTATGGAAATTTACACATCCACAATGCCAAAGTAGGACCAGAGGCTCCCAGGATGTTCACCGATGGTAGGAACTGAAAACAGAGCTCTCAGAAAAGGGTGACACATGGGGGGCAGTGTGGTGAGATGGGGTAGTATGAGCTAGGGGGCCACTCAGACCAGGGTTCACATCTTGGCTCAACCTCAGGCAAGTCACATAACCTCCCTGGCTGAATTTTTTTTTCTTTTTCTGTGCAATATGAATAGGACCTGGTAGGGGACAGATTTCAGTTTGATAATGCTTGTAAGGGATTGAGTGTGATACCTGGCACATAGCAGCTCAGAGGGTTAGTTATTATCATCACTATTGTTATTGTTGCTGTTGGTAGTATTTGTGGTGTCATTAATTACACATAGACATCTCAGGGATGCCTCTTGTCTCCTATGGAAACAGAATAAATCTGTGACTAGATCCTGAAATTATTTCTTCATCTATAATAAGGTGGGAACAGAAAGAGCAAAGGGGGAGTCTAAGAGGCAAGAATTTTAGCTGTCATATTATATATTGCCAAATGTTTGTGGGGGGAAAATCAAATGCAATTTTTGGATTCTCTTTAGGGAGTGAAGAAACAGCACAGAATTCCTTCAGCTTTCTCCCCTTTTAAATCTTGAAACCAAAGTTATCAAATGAATTTCAATCCCAGCCTCCATGATGAGGGGTTTTGTCCAACTGGATATCCTCGTAGTCTGTGTGGCTCCTGGCTCCAGGATGACCTTGTCTGCACCCATTACTTACAGTAGGCAAAGGTAGGATCCCTTTATTCCTCATGCAGTTGTCCTCAGAAAAACACTTTCTTTTCTTCTTTATCTCTCCTAAGCTTATAAAGTATGATTGATGAGAAAAGGCAAAGAGCTAGGATTCTTTACACAAAAGGGAGAGCCGAGAAAAAGAGAGGACAGCTTATAATGATAATCTCCAAGTCTCAGATTTACTATACAGTGGAAGGTGGCCAAGTGTTCTCCAGTTTTTATTGAGTACATAAAGAAAAAGTAAAACTTAAGTACCACACAAGGGACCTGGGTTGGGTGGAAATAGTTCTGAAAGTAGGATTCATAAAAGCTCTCTCGGAAGAATGTATTGAGATGTGAATCACACACATTTTAAAAGTCTGTTTTCCTTTTTGTGTTTTCATATGCATGAAAAAATGCAGACATTAACACTTAAAAGGTAAATCACAATGATCATAATCTATGTACACTTGTGCACAGGGTCTCTAGGTTTTGTCATCATAGCAAGTGAAGAAAAATGGCCTGAGTGGCCATATTAGCATGAATGGCCATGTTATGCTGCATAACATAAAGGCCCCAAATTGTTGTGGATTATAACAAGAAAGGTCTATTGCTCACTCATGCTACATGTCCATCTAAGGTAGACAAGTGTCTCTGGTCTATATCCCCCCTCAGGGACTCAGGTAGACACAGCCTCCACCATCTGGTTGCTGGGGCAAGGGGAAGGGCTGGCTTGTATGGTGAGTCACATGCTGGTTCTTAAAGCTTCTGCCCGCTTCATTTCTTCCCATATGGCAATGAGCAAAGCAAGTCACCTGGCCACAGAGAAGTGAGATCCTACCGTGTGCCTGGAAGGAGGCAAATTGGAATCTTTGTATTAATAGAAAGCCCAGTGACTACCCAGTGACATTTTAAAGCTATCAGTCTGTCAAGTATGTGATTTACCTTAAAACATATTTTGTGACTGTAACAATGTTTGTCCTGCAGGATGTACCTCTCCGGGAAGCATGAGGTAGAGAAACTATAAACACCCTTACTCCTTTTCCATCTAGAATAACTTAGATTTGAGCCTTCCTCCACGCAGAGAAGAAGAGATTAATTCACTTTTATTCAATGAACCTTTATTTAGCTCCAACTAAACACCAGGTGCTGGGACTATTAAGACAAAATAAAGTAAAATCCTTACTTCCAAGAGGTTCAATAGTCTAATAATCCTGTGAGATGTATAGGGCTGGGGATTGGAGGAAGGTCTGGGCTCGACAGAGGTTCATGTAAGAGTCATCAAGATGGAAGTGACTTTTGAAGATGCTGCACGTGTCTATGGCTGCTCAGTATTGCTATTCCAGATGGATCTAGGAGCAAGCACACCTGACCCCTCTTTCGCATCCCTCCAGCTCAGCCATCTCTCCCATCTCTTGCCTGGGCCCTTGTCTTGTCCCATTCTTGCTTCGTACTCTTCCTATGGCTTCTCTCCTTGATATCCTGTGCCTTGCCCATACTCTGGAGTTCGGGTACAGGAGTTTGGTGAAAAGAGTAATAGAATAGGAAGTGATTTAGGATTAAGACTGTCAGCCCCAAAGTGACAAGAAAGACTCTGAGGTTGAAGATTATGCCTCTGTATGCTGAAGGCCTCACAAGTCTGAGAGGAAAAGGAGATGATACTAGCAGTAATAACCTAACTGTTCACTGTTACTGTCGCCATCAATTCCCATGGGCTCCAAGGTCACTGTAAAGTATCCCATGACTTTCTGAGAATTCCCAGGGTGTGGCTGGCACTAACAATCCTACTTCACCAGACACCTCCACTCTCTGCTACTTTTCATGAGGCATCTCAGTTCCCCAGGACAGCTGCTGCCACTGGATTGCTGTGTCCCCCAGGTCCCACTGCCTCCTGCCACAGCCCACATGTTAAAGGACTCACTCTGCAGAAGCTGTACCTGGTCTGCATCCAAGAGAAGAATGCCCTGGCCCCTTTGTGCTACACTCCATTGGGGGTTACCCAAACACGACCGCATGTGTACCAACGCCTTGTGGACATTTCAGTCAAACAGCCCTGTCCTCCATGGGGCTCAGGCATGTATCCTACAGGTCAGCACCTATGGCCACAGGACAGTCCACAGACTGGACTCAGAATCCATGTTGGATCCAGCTGGACCCCTCATCCATCTATTGGATCTAGAGGGGTTCCATGCCTGGCGCTCTCTCCCCTCCTGGTAAGTTCTATCCCCAGGGACTCCTCAGTCCCTACCAAATAGGTTTCTGTAAAGCACCCACAACTTTGCCAAGAAGTCTCAAGTGTTTCTGAACATCAGCTTAAGCTCAAGATGGGACTTTCCCCCAAACCTGCTTCCCTCCTTTTTAATCCAATACATAATAATAAACTTTTAACAACAACAACAAAAAGACTGGAATCTCTTTAAGGGTGTGTGCATGTATTCTAAGTGTGAATGTGTTCAACGTCTCGTTTTGCTCTAAATCCTATGATTCCCTGGGTAATGATGAGAAAACTGAAAAATCCGAGAGGCTACACGACTCCAGGAAGGTCTCACATTTACTAATAAGCAAAACCGGATTCAAACCTAAGCCTGTCTCTACCAAGTACAATGGATGCTTATCCCCTTTTGGGCCAGGGATAGTAGTTAAGCTCATGGAACTGAGACCGCCCCCCCATCCCCTCCCCCTCCCCCCCAAGAAGAAAAAGAGGCATAAATCTGGCTCTGATTTAGGGACTAGGGCGGGTCACTCGGAGCCTCTTTTGTTTCCTTCTCCTTCCCGAGCCCCCACCGGGGATCCCTGCCCCCAACTCTGCCTAGAACTTAGCGACGCGCTCCTAAAACAAGAGCGCAAGGGTACCGGGTCTCAACGCGAGTCCGCCCCCCG